CTTCTATTGCTACTGCTACTACTACTTGCGAAAATTGCGGCTAAAGCGACTGGTGCTGGCAGGCTACTGCTGCTGCTGTCCATGTTCCTTGCCGAGAAGTTTATGCTGCCTACAAGGAGTGATACAGGGGCAGACTTCGCTGAGCCAATTCTCGAGGCTCCTACTCCTCCTCCAACTGCTGCTGCTGCTGATGCTGCTGCTGCAGCTGCTGCTGCTGCTGCTGCTTCTGCTACTGCTATCGTTAGTGCCACTGCTACTGCTGCTGCTACTGCTGCCACACTACGATGATTGAAGCGACCGCCACAACCAACGGTACCATCGCCAAAAGATGCCTACATGTACGATTCAGCCTCCATGATGCCCTTCCTTATCACATCTCCTTCCACACATGGCTGATGCCGCGAGCCCCACCCCTCTCTGCCGCGAGGTTGGGCTGGGCGGACACGGTGCGCATCAAGAGTTGCAATCCAGCATTCAGCGGTTGCAGGAGTTGATATATTCCTTGAAGCTGACAAGTTCCACGACTTGGCGAAAAGACAAGTTCCACGACTTGGCGGAAAGACAGGGGCACACGTATGGAGAGGTCGTCATGCAGCAGGACAAGCCAGTCCGCAAATACAGAACAACGTATGGTGTTCAACGCAATGAGATGCTTCGGCAGATTCGTCACCGCATTGATAAGTTGGAGGCGGCCCAAACCCAACCTGAGATGCTTTCCTTGCAACATCTATCATCGATGGAGACCGCATTGCAACCACAACTACATCTCCTTGGGTACAAATGGGCGACCACGCTGTTCGAGTTCAATATCGCTGATGGAGAGCCGCTCGCAGCGATGGATGAGCACACCCGCACCTGGTTGCAGGACAGGTCTGCAAGGGCAAGTATAGAGAGGTCACAGGAAGCAGTCGGAGTCATCTCACGTGCCGGCCTTTTCGGAACAAGCAAGCTGATGTGAGCATTGTCAAGACTGGCATGGCCCGAAGCCTTTAGTGCAGCGAGTGTGGTTGAGTGCACACTTGAGTCGTGGTTCTGTCCAGGTTGAAATCATGATGCGAATTATGATAGCAGATCTGGTCGAAATAGACGTGTCGGTAATAAACGAATTTTGAATTGCGGCAGCAGCAGAAGCAGTAGTTGCAAAGGGTTGGCTCTCAACTCGTATCAGGAGGTAGACGCGCTGGCGCAGGCAAACGGATCCTCCCGATCGCTTGTGGCCAGCACACACGGAGGTGGAGGAGGAAACACAGAGGCCGACCAGTTTCTGAAGTGTCTACTGCAGGGTGCTGCAGCCCCAATGTGACATGCACGCCCCATGTTGTAGATGGACCGGGCAATAACGGTTGTCCGTTCTCTAGATTGCTGGCTGACTGTCTGCTTCAGGGAGCACTATATGGCAGTCGTAGGATGAGATCGGCTTTTACAGTGTAAGCCTGCTGCTGGCCCGTTGCAGGTCAATGCACAGCAACGCGCAACCGAGTACCAGACCCGCGGGAAGCGATGTGAAGATGCGCTCACCAATCTTCCGCAGAGCTCCTCACTGGGCACGTCGCAGGCACATCGCACAAGCAGCTCCGTCGTACAGTCTTGGAGCCCGACTGCACCATCGGCAGCAGCAGTTGCTCAGCCTGCCGTGGACAACGTGATCACTTGCCAAAAGTTCCTGGACCGCCTGGGCTCGCCCGCTGTGCTTTTTGCCGGCCGTGCGCAGACTTCTCGCCAACGCTTGGAGACGCCAGCAGCAGTGCACTTTGACGTTCGCGTTCGCAGACAGAAAATGGCGGAGCTACAGGCGCAAGCTGCGGAAGCATCCGAAAACAAGGACCAGCGACCAGTGACAGTTGCTAATTTGTTTCTCGTTTTTTTCGTGCAGTTTTGCATGGACGCCTCTACGTGAGGTGCATGCCCACTACCGGACTATTCAGTCCATCGATCCGAGAAGCAGACCTACTGACCCATTCTCAAGTAATGTCGTACCGTGCGAGGACAGGAAAGCCCTGTTAAAGGCCATCGATGCAGAGCTCGAATCAGAGGTGGCTGACATCCTCCCGGCGTTCACTGAGGCGGCATTTGTGGCTTTAGTCTAGAGTCTACATTGGAAGCGATGAGGGTTTCGTGGAGATACGGTTCTCTCGCTGACTGTAGCGTGCAACTTGGTTCGTAGCTACTGCTACTGTTCTCACGGACCCGATCCCGACCCCCACCCCGGCCCCGTCCATCCCGGCCGCCCGACCCCCACGATCCCGACCGCCGCGACCCGTCAGACTGCGACTCCTCCTGCTGCTTCTGTTGCTTCGGTTACTTTCCTACCACGGCTGCTACGACTGTGTGACTGCATTGTCTTAGCGGTATTGCTCTTGCTCCTGTTGCACTGCACATGGGCAAGGCAGTTTACCGGACGGAGCGCGTCAGTGAACGAAGCAGAATGGACACCTCATGTACCGGCGAGGAAGTGCTCCATGATGGACAGAGCCGGAACGAGAAGAGCCGCTCGGAATTACTGGCAGAAGCTGATGCTGAGGCGGGGCATCAGGTTTTTGCGCGGGATCCTGACATGAGCGACGCAGAGCACTATCTGGCATCGCATGCTCTGAAGGCCATCGGCGAGAAGGTCGAAGAGGGCGAGTTTCCGGAGCTTGCAAGCGCGTGGGCCAGCTTCAGTGAGGCCATCCAGCAATGGAACCACCACTGTAAGTCAACAGCAGCAATTGGGGGGAACATCGACGAGGGACAAGCGAGAGCCGTTACAGAGGCGTACCGCAAATTATTGCGACTTTCCTTGCAAGTAGCGCAACGCCACGGCTCTCACCTGCACCTCATTATGCCTGACTGGTACAAGACCATTTGGGAGAACTACGAGGCTGCCATCAAGCCACCACCCATGCACGAAAGGGTTTACCAGGCGGTTAAGAAGACGATTATTGAGACAGTTCGGGAAGCGGTGACATGGGTGAAGGAGGCGGCTAGCACCGTGTGCGGCTGGACCATGGGGGCCTTCCAGACAGTGGTTCAGGCACGAAAAGACTTTGTGTGGTATAGGGTAGTCTTGCGGTCGACGTGAATCATGCGTAAAACCTTGCATGTACAGCAGTCAACTACCCATGCTTTGTGTTTGCAGCGAGTGGTGAAGACCGTTGTCAATGTAGTCGCGACCGTCGTGGAGAGAGTTGTGGATGTAACCCCCCAATGGGTCCAAGACGCGTATTCGGCTGCGAAAGAAGGCTTCACCCGCGTGACCAGCATCATCAGTCAGTGGTGCAGCAGCGCTTGGAACACCGCGAAGAGTTGGGCATCAAGTGCGGCTGCATTCGTGGGACGCACTGTGGCAAGCGTGGGGCGCGCTGCGTCTCAAGCATTCGGGGCAGCATGGCGTTGGATAAAGGAGCAGCTTCACAGCATCAAGATGTATGTAACAAGTCTAAAGGAGGCCGCAGCTCGCTTCGTCGGTGATTGCATCGCCTTCTTTCAGAGGCACATTCCAGAGTGGCTGCAACGGGCTGGGGTGGACTTTGTCAGTTCTGCCTTGGCTTGGCTAGGCGCTGTTGCAGTTCGTGTCTCTGATGCCTGGAACAGAGTCAAGGCTTTCATTGCACATTCTCCCCAGTGGATGAAAGATTTGGCTGCATCGGTGAAATTTGTTCTGTCTCGCTTGACACAGACTTTGTACCTTGTGTGGGAAAACAAAATCGGGTGGCTGCTCGACTGCATTTTTGTTCGATCAAGGGCTTTGGCCGACATTGCCCGCTTCGCGAAGTGGGGAAACAGTGAAGTCGTTTCGACTCGCCATCAGATGTTGCTCTTCGACGCTGAGCAAAATGCACAGGGCATCTCTGACCAGCGCATGCGACGAAGGTCAGCTTTGCAAGCCGTGTGGCAGGCAGGCTGGATGGCTTGGCACTTTGGTTGGGATCCGTCTCTGCAGCTCAATTTGAACACTGGCTTGTCGGACGTGGCTCAGTATCGGCAAGACAGAGCCAACCAGGCCTTTCTGCAAAGTCATCAGGAATCTGTGACGAAGTGGTCGTATGGCATGGCAGTGCTGGGCCTCCCCGTCGCCATTGTCATGATGATGACTGCAGGCATGGGGACTTTCATCTTTGTCACTCAGGCTATCAACGTCATCACCGCTGCAGGAAGCCTGGTAATCATGCATTTGCAGGAGCTCGCCCAGGAGGATTCCACACTCACGGAAGAAGAGAGGCAGGAAAGGCAAGACAGGCTTTCACTCTGGCAAGGCATCCTTGGCATGGTTGGCCTCGCTACCTTCGCCTTTGATTTCTTCAACGGTTTCGCTGCATCACAGGTAGCTGGTGGACTTGCAGCTGGTGCCGCTCCGGCTGTGGGAACGCTGCGGCTGACTCGCATTGCAGGCCTTGTTCGCGCCGCTATGCGTCTTGTCGGGCAGGGTGCTCGGGTGTTGCAACTTCCGAACTTCCTGCGCACTGTAGACCGTGTTCTTGCAGCTCTTGGCCTCAACGGCGCACGTCTTGCACAATTGGGCATGACATCGCGTACTCGAGTGTGGATTGTCATTCTGGAACTGGTCAACGGTGTTGTCATGGTGCTAAGATCCTTCCTCAACATCATGCAACAGCTCAACATCATGCAACAGCGGGAGCAATCAAGTGCGCAAGAGCGAGATGACCAGAAAGAGCAGCACCAAGCACTGTCAGCTGGGCGGGTGGGAAAAAAAAGCACTGCAGCAGCTTCAGAGGAGATGAGGCAGACGGAGGAAAGTTGTGAGATGCCGGTTGGCTCCAAGTGGGCATGGATAGCTCGGTCGTCCGATCTTAACGCCGGGGTAGAAACGTCGGAGGAAGCTTCCGAAGAGAGCCAGGTCTCTCGTCGCCCTACTAAGCGCAGCCAAGCCTCACATGAGCGTCTGCGGTATGCCCGGTCTGGCACAGAGCCTGTGGATGTGTGGTTTAAGGGGACCGAGTGGCAGACAAGTCGCGAGTTGACAGAGTCGGAAGAAAAGCTGCTAAAGGATGTGAAAAGTGAGGAGGTGGGACGATTGGGTTGTGTCTGCAATGTCTGGCATGTTCATGCAGTTCCTACACGATAGGCCGATAGTCCTTGCGATCTTGCCGAGTCCGTGTCTTGTACAGAGTCTGAGTCTTCGACAGCATCACCCGGCTGTGCAGGATCTGCGCAAGTTCTTCGAAAAGCAGGCCAAGTCGCAGAAGCTCGAGCAAAGTCGAGGCAGCAAGTTTGAGACCCGCACGCAAAAGGATGGCTCAAAAATAGTCGTGGAGACAGAGCGCCACAGAGGAGGACATGGAGGGGACGACCACATCCAGGTGCGGAGGAGCCATATGGTGGGGCAAGAAGGGTCTGAGCTGGAAGTCAAAGTGGAGACCCGGAGTACAAAAGGCATTCTCAATGAAAGCAGGCTTGTCTTCCACACCGGAGCCAAAGACTCCAGGATCACCGGTACAGCTCTGACCGACGATGCCATCGAGGTGCTGCTCAAGAAGTTTGGCATTCCTCGGGACAAGGTCATCATCAAAGACGGACTAGTCAGAGCCAAAGAATGGGATGTGAACCCCGACTCGCGTCCTGGAACCTTGCCTGGAGTGGACCGGCAGAATTCAGGGTCAACCCCGCCAGAGGCAGGATCGGCTGCTGGAGGCCAGGAAGCAGAGGAGGCTGCTGCAAAGGTGTTCGGATCGGGATCGCAAGAGCGAGATGACCAAAACACTGCAGCAGCTTCAGAGGAGATGACGCAGACGGAGGAAAGTTGTGAGATGCCGGATGGCTCCAAGTGGGCATGGATAGATCAGTCGTCCGATCTTAACGCCGTGGTAGAGACGTCGGAGGAAGCTTCCGAAGAGAGCCAGGCTGCTGCCTCTCGTGGCCCTGCTAAGCGCAGTCAGGCCTCCCATGAGCGCCTGCGGTATGCCATGTCTGGCACAGAGCCTGTGGATGTGTGGTTTAAGGGGACCGCGCGGCAGACAAGTCGCGAGTTGACAGAGTCGGAAGAAAAGCTGCTAAAGGATGTGAAAAGTGAGGAGGTGGGACGACTGGGTTGTGCCTGGCATGTTCATGCAGTTCCTACACGATAATCCTTGCGGTCTTGCCGTGTCCGTGTGTCTTGTGCAGAGTCTGAGTCTTCGACAGCATCGCCCGGCTTTGCAGGATCTGCGCAAGTTCTTCGAAAAGCAGGCCAAGTCGAAGAAGTTCGAGCAGAGTCGAAGCAGCAAGTTTGAGACCCGCACGTCAAAGGATGGCTCAAAAATAGTCGTGGAGACAGAGCGCCACAGAGGAGGACATGGAGGGGACGACCACATCCAGGTGCGGAGGAGCCATATGGTGGGGCAAGAAGGGTCTGAGCTGGAAATCAAAGTTGAGACCCGGAGTACAAAAGGCATTCTCAATGAAAGCAGGCTTGTCTTCCACACCGG